GGGCAAGTGATGCTCTGTCTTCTTGGTGCTTGGGGGGGGGTCAACAGTGGGAGGGCTCCTAGTGTCCTGGCCCCACTGCTGGACCTCCTGGTGGCCCCTGGTATTTCTGGCCACTGTGTGACACAGAGTGTTGGACTGGAGGGGCCTTTGGCCTGATCCAACATTGGCGTCTCTTATGTTCTTACCTTTTCTTGTCCTGCTTGACTTTGGCAGCCTCGGTCTTTTTGCCCGGCTTCTTGGGCCCTGCTATCTCAGGAGGTGATTTCGGTTCCACGGGTGAAACGGGGGGCTTCGCGGCCCCTTTTTCCTCCTTCTGCCCTTCGGGCTCTGGGTTGGCTGCGCCTGCACGTGACATAAAGAGTTTTAGTTGGTTTGCCTTCGTTTAAAGAGAAAGCTATAATAAAAGGATACGTAATACTGGTAGTTTGGTGCCGTGGCTAAGTGCGTGGACTCTGATCTGGGAGAACCGGGTTTGATTCCCCCACTCCTCCACTCGCAGCTGCTGGATGGCCTTGGGCGAGCCGTAGCTCTGTCAGAGCTGTTCCCGCAAGGACAGTTCTGGAAAGAGCTCTCTCAGCCCCGCCTACCTCACAGTGTCTGTTGTGGGGAGGGGAAGGGAAAGGAGTTTGTAAGCCGCTCTGAGACACCTTTGGGTAGTGAAGGGCGGGGTATAAATCCAATCATCATCTCCTCCTCCTCCTCCTCCTCCTCCTCCTCCTCCTCTTATGATTCCATGTTTTTGTGTGTGTGTGTCTGTCTTTAAATGCTTTGTTTGTCTGAGACTCCAATCTCTTCGTCTTCTTCTACATAATACTAGTATAGAATGTTGCAGCCAGCATGTTAACCGGAGTGGGTCGTGGGACTGTATCGCTCCAGCCTTGTTCCATCTACACAGGATTCCCAATCTGTTTCCAGGCACAACTCAAGCCGTTGGTCTTGATCCTCAAAGCCCTATATGGGTTGGGACCAAAATACCTGAAGGACCGTCTATTCCCTTATGAACCCACCTGATCTGTGCTGGGTCCTATTTTATGCCACATCTCTATAAATGACTTGGATGGAGGAATAGAGGGAATGCTTTTTAAATCTGCAATTGATACTAAATTGGGAGGGGTAGAAAATACAGTAGAAGACAGAGTCAGGATACAGGATTGTAATGATTCCATGTTTTGGTGTCTATGTGTTCCTTTAAATGCTTTGTTTGACTGCAGTAATATGAGAAGGGTGACAAGTGTGATTTGATTGACTGCTGACTGAGAGTGTGGGAGGAGATGTTCTGAGAGGAATCTGGGTGTGTGTCTATGTAAGATTCTGTGTGTGAAGTTTGAAGAGAGAACACAGTCTATGTGACTATGGGATTTGTGAATAAGACCAACAGTTTAGTCTGTGTGACTAAGAGAGTTGATTCTATTCAGTGTGAATAAAACAAAGAGACTGGCCTGTGTAGCTATATATATGAGAGAGTATACTGAGTGTATAAGCCTTTCAGAGTGGAGTTTGAGAGACTATTTGTGGCTCCAAGCCTTGCCAGTTATATTTACAAGTTCCTTTCTTCAGCAACTGTTCAAAATAACCAGAAACCTATTTTGTTCTTTATTAAATAAATCATTCTTTTGTTTAAACATATCCCAGAAATCAGTACAGTACTTCCTCAGGGCCACATAATCCTCTGAAGTGCCCAGACGGGAACCCTGACCTAGATATGAGGCACATATAAGAGCACTCCAATTTATTTGGCTCTAAATTCTATGTCATGGCACCCAAGTAGAAGTTTTCAAAGGGTTCTGGTTTGCTCCCAGTCTGGGCTTTTCCATATTTTACTTGCTGGTAAGTTCCAGCTTGGGGGGGGCTGCCTGTTCCACGTGTGTTTTGCTCCCTCTAGTGGTTGATTTGATATTGCACACGTTTATTTCCAGCATATATCCCTGCAGATTTCAACTGCGGGTTGTTATGCCGGACATAAAATCCGTATGATGTCCAATCGAACACTAGAGGGGAACAAAACATATGCAGGACAGGAAAAACAACAACCCTGAAGCAACAGAAACACGCGAGGGAGGAAGATGAGGATGCCAAAAGGCCTTCTGAAACCACCACACACGCCCCCTTTCATTTCCCCTACCCAACACCGTTCCTCATATTGTAACACTTCTTAACTCTGAACCAAAATTACTCTTCTGGTTGTCCTTTTCAATCCCCGACCTAGCACCCATTTGTTAAATATGCAGAGTGTCAGCTCCAATTTCGTAACAGGACAAAAGTTTAAACACTTGGGAAAATTAGAAGAAAGGTAACTCTATGCACAGTAAACACGACACTCCGAGAGCCGGTTTGGTGTCGTGGTTAAGTGCGCAGACTCTAATCTGGGAGAACCGGGTTTGATTCCCCACTCCTCCAATTGCAGCTGCTGGATGGCCTTGGGCAAGACGTAGCTCTGATAAGAGCTGTCCTTGAAAAAGAGCAGTTTCTCTCAGAGCTCTCTCAGGCCCACCTCCTTCACAGGTTGCCTGTTTTGGGGAGGGGAAGGGAAAGGAGATTGTAAGACACTCTGAGACTCCTTTGGGTTGTGAAGGGCGGGGTATAAATCCAATCTCTTCTTCTTCTTCTTTTTCTTAAGTGCAGGGACTCTAATCTGGGAGAACCGGGTTTGATTCCCCACTCCTCCCCTTGCACCTGGCTGGATGACCTTGGGCGAGCCATAGTTCTGACAAGAGCTGTTCTTGAAAAAGAGCAGTTTCTGTCAAGAGCTCTCTCAGCCCCACCGACCTCACAGGGTGCCTGTTGTGGGGAGGGGAAGGGAAAGGAATTTGTAAGCCGCTCTGAGACACTTTTGGGTAGTGAAGCGCGGGGTATAAATCCAATCTCTTCCTCTTCTTCTTCTAAACACACACAGAGGTCTCGTGTACACATCAAGCAGAGTGAGCCGACAGAAGCCCGAGGAAGAAGAGTGAATTGCACTACTCCGAGCTGCGGCTTGGAAACGTCATTTTAGATGCTCCCCCAATGCAAACTCACCCCTTGAAACTATAAAAGTAGCATGGAAGCGAGAAACGTTCCATGACAGGTCAAGTCCTGCTCTGATACTTTTCTACTTGCGGGTACACATGGAGCTTCCTTCTACTGAACCTAGACCATTGGTCCATCGAGGTCAGCATTGTCTACTCAAGACGGGCAGCCAGGGCCGGCTCTCTCACTAGGCCTACTAGTATCTGGCCTAGGGCGCAGATCTCCCAGGGGCGCAGCGAGGCCCCTGCTGCCGCCGCTGGCCGCCCACCCCCAGCATGGCTTTCTGGGCGCCCACAACGCGCCCCTTCCTTCCCGCCGGCTTCCTTGGCCTCCACCGCAGCATCACCATCGGGAAGGAGGAGGTGAGGGGGAACCTAAGCCTTACTGGGGATTCCAGGGATTGAACCTAGGGCCTTTGGCATGCCACAAGCAGATGCTCTGCCACCGAGCCACGGTGTTTCCTTGTTCTTAAGGCTCTGTTTCTTAAGACTGTGTTTCGTTTTTCTTAAGGCTCTGTCGTTTCACTCACAGGAGCCGTTTTTATTCGACCGGCTCAGGACTTCACTGCTTCGTTTGCTGCTCGAAGGGGAGGACTTGTGAAAAGTCCCAGTGAATTCAGCAAAACTTATTCCAAAATACAGATGCTTAGAAACACACTACAATGCCTTTGGACGTGAGGAATGAACAGGAATCCCTATAGCCTGCCATGAACCCTTGGGGACAGGGAAGACAACGAAGGAAGGCGCTTACAGTCCTTATTCATCGCGGCTTTCCCGAAGAAGTTGTTCAGCAGGTTCCCTTTTGCGACTGGCTTGCTGCTTGCAGTTGAGGTCTGGAAATAATGAAGAAAGCTTGTCAGGAAATGGTTTGTTACACAGATGTGGTTATGAAGCAGAGGCCATAATTCTCTGAAAACTCTTCTGCAAACCAACAGGATTTGGGGAACAGCCTGGATGAGCTCTTTCCCAGCTCCTATTCCGCATGACTCGGGCAGGTGGTATCGCTGGAAGGAGGTGCCTACAGCAAGACTTTCATTTTTGTTCACTGCCAAGGATCCCTCTGCAAGAACTGGAGCAATAAACAAAAGGGAGTCTCGCGCCCTTCCAGAATCTGCACAACAGGTACTGTTCACCTGCGTTTCCCACTCTGCGCAAGGACAACTGTAGAGACCGGGCAGTGTCATTCAACGCAGCAAGCTTTCAGTAGAACAAAACTTTAAAACTTACAGACATTCTCTGTTAAAACCTCAGAAGCCAGAAAGGAGTTGGGCTCCAGTGGTTAGCTTCCTCCTCGTTCTCGTGGTCGTCAGTCCTCCATCTCCCAACACCGAGGTAGTAAGAGGCACCGCAGTGCCTGTGCTCAGAGCAAAACTGATTTGGCCAATGCTGGTCGTGTGCACTTAGGCAGATCATGAGAGGGAGGGTGGGAAGGGTTGCCTCAGTGCTTAGTTCTTGCAGCCCTTTCTTACATGCCCAGAGAGATGCTGATCGCCACTTTGGGGCCAGGAAGCCATTTTTCTCCAGGCCAGTTTGGCCGGGGATCCTGGAGGTTTCTTGTCATCTTCTGGGCATGGAGCGGCAGTCGCTGTGGGTGTGGAGGGGGAGGCATTTGTGAATTTCATGCACTGTGCAGGGGGTTGGACTAGATGACCCTGGAGGTCCCTTCCAACTCTATGATTCTAAGACCTCGTTTGGAGCCCCGCAGCGCCTTAGAGACCAATGAGATTGTCAGGGTAGAAGCTTATTCACTGAAGAAGGGAGCTTTTGACTCCCAAAAGCTTATACCTTCCAACTCCATGATTCTAAGTCACACACTGATGAAGGACCCAAAAAACAAAAACGGAGAGGGTTAACAACAGGCTGCCCGGGCCGGGTAACTTACACTTTGTGTCTCTTTAGCCACAGTTTTGGGTTCTCTGTGTGCTTCTTGGGTTTTGGCAACAGGTTTCGTGGCGAACATTCCCATAATGCCCTTGGCCTGCTGGGAGGTCTGTTTTGGGGCAGCGCTTGGGGCGTGGCCATTGGCCACCGGAGCCACGCCGGCGTTTGCGCCACATGCTGGCTGGGAATCCACCAGCGCAGGAGTCTCGGTCTGAGACATTTCGGCTGCTGTCCGGGCCACTGCAGCGGCACAGTGGATTGCGCTGAACCTGGAGAGAGGGCAAAACGAAACCTTTCATTTGCAACTCAACATTTCCTCACACGCCCTACAGTTCAGTTCCCACCTCTCCAGAAGCACATCATTCCCCGTGCTCTCTTAGTCAGCCAAGAACAAGAAACAGTTCCATTCTTTCATGTCTCAGCTGTGCTTTTAAGCTGGAACCAATGTTCCCTCTAAGGCATGGAGTCCTGTGAGCAAAAATTCTACTTTGTGAGCTACTGGCATTAAAGTTGTGAGCAAGCTATTTGGCTACTACATAAATTAGTTTGCTCTGGAGCCATCCTTCCTGAGCTGAGACAAAAACGTCTGAGCCGGAGGCTAAAAAACTGTGAGCTAGCTCACACTAACTCAGCTT